ACAGCTCCTTCCACAGTGTCTTTGGACCAGGGTGCCACACGCTTCTTTGCTGCACTGCGTACTGTCGCAGTGCCGGATGCTGGCAATCTGCTCACTGTGGGCAGTGGCGACGTGTCTTTCCTACTTCACAACCCAAACTACCAGCTGTATGTTCGGAAGTGCTATCCGGACCTCTTCTATGCCCTCTACGAGTCGACAAGCAAGAAGCATGTCGGTGAGGCCCACCTCTTTCTCTGCTTTTACCTGCCAGGCTACCAGTGTGTACAGTTAGGACCCAATGCACATGGTGACTGCATCATCATCATTGTATGCACCATTGTGTGTTCTTGATGTGGGTTGAGATGTACATGAGTCAGTGGGTGGGAGACAGCTTGTGTTCTTTAGACATGTAAATGACTAATGGCTGGCACTGGCCTGCTACACTGCTGGCCCCTCTCCTGTCTGTTGAATGAAGCACCCACCCTTACTGGCACACCGGGTCGGGTATGAGGGACTCTACTTATCCCAACCTGCCATTTTGCCAGGATGGTCTCTAACAATATGGATTCTAGTTGAATATTGCCCTCGAGAACAAGCAATGCATGGACAGTTTTTTTATAAGCACCAGAGCCCTTCTGCAAAGCTATGCCTGTGTCCTGCTGCTGTTGATCATTCACTCCACTCACTTGATGACCAAGGCCACCCCCTTGCCCTTGTGTGTTTTGTTGCAGTTACCGGGACGCCTGGGATTGGAAAGAGCTACTTCTTTTATTACATGCTGTTGCGGCTGCTGCACAGCCCATCGCCACCGCCCTTCATCCTTTGGGAGCACTACGGATTTCCTGGTGTAATGGTGGGTTACCCCTGTACTGTGCTGTATCTGTGTGCTGGTGTAGAAGCGTCTTGACATTTTTCCTTTTTTATGCCCTTTCTGGTCACCAGTGGTGCTACATGCATGAGACAGGCCAGGTCCAGTATTCCAGCAATGGCCGTGTGGCTTTCTTGGAGGCGTTCCGCAATCCCGAGACCTGGTGGGTTCTAGCTGCACAGTGCAGCACACTGATAGTGTGCTACAGGGTGCCATACATACATACCCCCGTCCAGGACATCCAGGACATCCCAGCCATTTCCTTTGGCCTTGCTTTTGGTAGGGGAATGGTTGGGATTTACTTAATAGCCTTTGCCCTAGCTGGGTTTTGTTCAGTTGGGACTTGATAATACACTTTGAGCTCATTATCACTGCAACACC